GAGAAATCTACTTAAAATTTTAGTTGTAAGAGAGATTATTTTCAGACTTACTGAGTAGAAACTGCTTCCAAAGACCATGAATTCAAAGTGAGAATTTCCAGTAGATTTCAATGACTTTGAATCAAATCCATAAAACCTATTTCTCTGCTGAGGTGAACCAAGGTTAATACACTGGTTACAGTAAACCAATTCAGTTTTGTAAGAAATAGAGATCTGCGTCTGCTCGTTCTTCCCTTGAGTCCCCACAAACCTGACTACAGAGCATTAATGGAGTTACACCACATTTCACTGCAGTCTAAACTCTTCTCTTTACGTAATGCCACAACACAAACTTGATCTCAAGTGAAATGGGGCAGTTCGCAATGGGAGAAATTTTTCTCTTCCTTTGTATAAGTGAATTTGTTTCCATCATTTATAAGTTGGAGTCTATTTTTCAATGATTTTCAAGGACTGACTTTCCTTTCTGTCTTATTATTCCTCTACTTTAAGATTCCTTTTTCCTTTCCCAAGAGAATGGGGTTAGTGACCTCTGTAAAGTAATAACATGTCCCCTGGCTGGGCTATCAATTGCAGAATGATGTGTTTGCACTTGACCAGATGTTTGATTTGTGTTTCCTGAGATAGATCTTCTGGATACATACTGTCTGATGATAATGATACATAATTGAATTTTATAGCTAATTTCTTGCCATGCAAGTGCTGCATGAAATCTCTTCAAACATTTGTTTACTGCTAGCAATTAGTCCTGTAGCTTGTATATTTACATTATGACCCGTAGCTAATGCACATTTTCTACTAGGCTGGAGCCTTCAGTGAATTTGGTCTCTTCTCTCTTGGAGACTACTCTTCCAGTACTTTTCAATTAACATAACAATTTTATAGTATCTTTATTAAACATCGATACTTGATCTTTCTTATGGAGAAGAAATTACCACAAAAGAGAATGGACATTTAGTTTGGTCCTAATTGTGTCCTTTTGATCTGTGTGCAAAGAAAATACTTAGCATGTTTTTATGTCTCCTTTAGAGTTTTGCTGATATTTCTGCCCTGTTCTCAGTTTTAATGAGAATTTTATGTGGGGGAAGGTCATACACTCATGAACAATGGAGAATAAGAAAGAAAGGAGCTAGGACTGTCTTTATTCATAGTGGTTAACATACAACAGCTGGCAAAGTCTTTGATTTATTATTTCCTGAGACAGAGTGTATTTCTTGCTTAGCGTTCAGAGGTTAGGCTGAGACCTACCGTCCCTACTTTTCCCTTATACAACCGAAACAGAAAAGAGCTCATACAGAATATGAAAATGGCCCAAACTGAATTGAATGAGTAGTGTTACATGCCCCAGGAGTGGTACAGAAGTAGCATATAGAAAAAATAAGTGAAGATCTCAATCATAATATGGTAAAGAAATTTTTTATATAGGTGTGTAGAGCTAGGAGTATTTACATATTCTTGTTTGCTAGAAGTCAGTTCTTTTAATCATACAGTTGTGATTCATGGTCAGCCATATGAAGATATGAGCAATCGTAACAGTCCTGTTATTCAAAAAAGTCATAGAATTGTCTGAAAGGAAAATCAGAAATAATTTTCTTAGACAAGAGTTATCATACATTACTATATGGTATTTGAAACATAGAATTTTTAAATGTGTTATACGTAACTGTTGGGATATGAGAATGTAAAAGCTAGACACTGCTCACCACATAAAGCATAGTGAACTTATTAGCGTCATTTTTATAGCACTTAAGATTCAACAAGGAATAAAGCTATCCCAGGTTATACCCCTTTCCTGTAGGGAATGCTGTCAATGATATAAAAAAAGAAAATATCTTCTCATCTAGGATTTTAAACTTAATAGTGGACTTAACTATTATAGAAAAACATTTCAGAGACCTACACTAAACACTGTGCTGCACTTAGTAAGATAAACTTGCAAAAATTTGTTCTTCGTTCTCAAACACCTCTTTCTAGTGAAAGCCTGATACTAATGAGAAACATCTTTTCAGTAAAATACATTCAAATCCAACTTTATGGAAGTTGCATTAAGGTATATGTTTCATTATCATTTTTAGCATTAACATTTTCTCTCAGGGAATCCCTGGAAAAAAATAAAAAATTAAAAATTAAGAGCAATGACCAAATGCATACAGTTCTGGTCTGACTGCTAGACAGTGTTTTCTTACCTCCTCAGTGCTGCATTCAAAGCATGCTAGTTCATCTATTTTGAATTTCAGTATGCTGTATGCTACATTGGAATGTATCTATATTTTTAAATAACAAAGCAGTTGAGAACTGTATACGTGAACAAATTGTTCTATGGGACAAAACTGTGTGCCCAGTTCCAATTCTGAGCCCCCACATCTGCTGGAACTCGTGTAGCAATTCTTAGTTGATAAATATGGGAATTATTTATAAGGACTGTCAGTCAGAATCACTTTTCACTTTTCCTGGAAAGAAACAGAGCTACTTTACAACGTTCCATTTAATGAAAATTTAATTCCATTTAATTTTGTTTAATGTTGCAATGTTTTAGAATTAAAAAGCTTTAGTATCTACAGGCATTTCTAATTGCAGAAAATAGGAAAAGTATGCAAAAAAATATCACAAAATTTATATTTTTTAGTCCTCTATAAAAGAAAAAAAATGTGGTGTATTAGGCTCCAAAGTCAAGACAGATATTCCAGGTTTTTAACATCTGATTAGGTATCCATTTTCTCCCTATTTCTTTTTAAGGCAAATGGAAATACCCAGGGAATAGCTATTCAAAATTTTAACCCCATTAAATGGTCTGATTTGACAACTGAAATATATTTATGAAGGTTAATAGATAATATTTTCTCCTGAAAAATCAATCTAGCAAGGTGGATAAATTCAGCAAAAAGAATGAATATTGATCACAGTTTTGAATATTTTGCATTAAATGCTTGGATCCCTTCAGTGTGATTTCCATTTTTACTACTATGAAGTCTGAGTACTGAAAAACAATTAATTTAAAAGGAATAATAAACAATACACTGGAAATTAAGTCTGCTATTCCAGTTTCTCTGAAAAAGGCTAATTCTATCTGCCCTATGGTTATGTAAAAGACTAAGCCTTTTCATGAACTTTTTGCAGGAAAAGGATCTAATTTTCTAAGTTGTCATTGTGACTAATCACAACAGCAATCTCCTTCTGGATGAAGGACTCTGATTAAGAAATGGAAAGTACTGACTCCATGTTCAAATGCTAAATGAAACATTTGCAATGAACCAGTTGCATGCAAATGAAAAACATTTAAAAACAAAACCAACCAAACAAAACCCATTTAAATCAGAGAGATTTTTTATATACAGGGTATATGAGTTATTCTTGACTGTGATTCTGCCTGTAACTTTAATATATGTACACAGCATGTACACATGTATGTCCTGCAGAGTAGCCATTGTCATGTAGGGAAATGGTTTTGACTCCCATTGTTCACCTTAAGCTAGACTAGAAACTGATTTCATTCAAAGTTCCAGGTAGTGTGGTATAGGCTCCTCTGTCATTGGTTATTTGAGGTTATGTTGCGTTATCAGAGAGTGTGAAAAATTTTGAAACCATGAAATATTTCCATGATTTGAAAACAAATTCTTCCCCCTACCTGCCCTAGATGAGAGTCAGTTTTCAAGGGAATAAAAGGAGGTTTTATGAAACTGTTGCAGCTATCTTTTTCCTATTGGTGAGCAGAGATTTACACAATTCATTAAGGTCAATGAGAAATAAATGGGGAATAAGGATTTCACAGCTCGGTCATTTTTTATTTATTCTGTCCTACAGCACCGCACATATAATTGTGAAGTGCTAAACCGGCTGTTCTCGGAAGTTGTTCAAAATCCAATGGACTAAAAATACTCTGCCAAGAAGACATTCAAGGTGATTTGAAACTGTTTGGATGCTTTTACTTTGGGCCACTGTCTGCAAATATATTAAGAGGCATCAGGGCTTTTTTTTTTTTTTTTTTTTTAATTCTTTTCTCTCTCCTTGTCCCACATACCTATTAATAATGAACCAAATTCACAACAATCAAGGAGAAAGCTGCCTGCTGGCTAATACACTGTTTGTAATATGGTGTCTGCACCTCCCCACGGTGCTAAAATTCATTTCAAGTTACACTTTAGTAATTGATGATCACTTGCCATATCCCTTTATAAAGCTTTTTTATCAATGTCTTTGGTGGTTCATTTTATATCAGCAGCAAATCAATGAAATTTTAATGGAACAGAGCGCTCTACTTGAGACTGAATTAATGTTGCTTTACCCATTTCAATATCAAGTGAAGTTTTCAAAGTCTAGCAGGATAATAGTTTTTCAGATTTTTTTTCCTTGATAACTTTGTTTCTGTGCAATGGTGGCATCCTTGCGATCAGATGTAATAAAGATTAAATGCATTAGTGAACTTAGTTTAATAGTAGCCGTGTGCTGTGAGGGACAACGTAAAAAAAAAAAAAAAAAAAAAAAAGCAGACTTTGAAACTAATAGCTGGATCCATGATCAGGAATGTAAATGCCACGGTGATATAGCTGTGAGTACATTAACTCCTGGAGTACTGGGGGGGTGTCAAGGACAGGAGGATCTTAATTGGTTTTAAAATCTCCACGGTGATGCAGTAATTAACTGTGCACTGGGAAGTACAACAAGGTCAAGGACTGAGTTCCCTTCTCTGAAGCAACAGAAGGAACCTGACTTGTAGTCAGCTGTGCAGTCCCTCAGCACCACAGGAATCGCATCAGCCACTGCGGCCTCATTGCAGCAGCCTGTGGCATACAGAGGTCTTCCCTCAGTACATAAATCCTGCCAGCCTAACGTATGGGTCTTGAGAGGCTCCAGCAGCTCTCAATATTGTCTTGAAGCCATCTGTACAGCAAAGTGATTGTGCTATGTTATTCCCCTGTAGAAAGGCTTTTTTGTGCTCCTCTAAGAGCTGAATTGTGGCATTTCATGTGGTGTTTTTACTACTGTGAATGCTTTGAAAGCAAAAGACAGCAATGACAGTCTCAAACTCCCTTTCGGTAGCTTTGAAGTGTGCTTTTTAGCACAGCTGAGCTTCGGGCGGCGGCAGCCACCCACTGCACCTGAGTGGCCACACCTCAGCCCAACGGCTCCCGCCTCGCACCCCTCCCTCAGCGCTGCTCGGTGGTGCGAGCCCGCTGCCCCACCACACACACCTCGCCTCAGGTTGAGTGCTGAGGGGAGGACCAAGGGGCACCACTGCCAGTCTTTTATTTTTTTCCTCCATGAGGCTTTTAGACCTCACACTTCAAGTCTGATATTTCTTAGCCGTTCTCGAAAAAAAAAAAAAAAAAGTCTCAAGAGGAAAAAATTAGTTATGTATCAAAGAGCAGCAGCTGCAGGTGATGGAGCCAGCATGGTGTACCTTGCTCTTCACTGCTCCAAAAGAAGGCTCCAGGGGTGAGGGTGCACCCTCGGAGCTTTGCTGGAAAGAAGCTTTCAGTACCTGTTTTCATCTGGTAAAAGCCTCCCTGTGAAGCAGGGCCCAAACTAAGCCTAATAAAAACATTTTTCCTGGGCTGATTCCTCTCAGGCTGAACGTATTAGATAACTACAGGCTGACAGAATAAAACTGGTTGGAGGAGATACGTGAGGGCACACCAAACCATGCTGGTTTAAGCATCTTCATCTGCTGAAGAGGACTTGTTCAGTTGTGGCGTTTGCAGCTGGACGGTAGAAATGTGAAGACTGTAAGGAAAGGTGCTGCCATTTTGTCTCACGCTGCAGAAGAAGGGGCTGGCTCTCCCGCAGCGCCCACGTGGTGGAGGTGGACTGGGTGGTAAGGTACATTTTTTTGTTACTTAGCATCCCAAAATTGCCAAGGTGCTGGTGTTTAGGAATGCTATTGTTTGGTACTTGCAATATGAAAAATCACAATGGTTGATAATGAGGGGGGCTATCGCTGGCTTATTTTTTCTACTTAAATCCAAAGTTTAAGTATGATCTAGAAAAAATCTAAGGGGAAAAAAAAATCCAACGTGTTTCCATTCCTGTTAACTGCTGAAAGAAAGCCAAATATTAGTTCAGTCTCATGGATGCTTACAAAATCTGATTGAGGCTTTCATTGATTTCAGTGGGTTTTGGATCAAGCCTTGAATGCAAAGAAAGACTAATCTGCCTTCTCAACTTCAGCGTCACAGCTGGAGCACACATTATCAGGGTAGCTCATGTTTCTCTTAATTTCTATTCAATAAAACAATTTTAATTTATATTAAAAAAAAAGTGTATCAGCCTCTGAAATTGTTAATTTACATCTTATCATCAACGCTATACAACGCTAAGCACATGATTTCAGGTACAGGAGAGGGAAAGCTGAATACTAACAAATGTCAAAATAATAAATGTCAAAAATAACATTGTGGTAGAGAAAGTGGAGTGGCAACCTGTTGGTATGTTCTGTTTGATTTGATATGCTTTGATGCAGTCCATAAACTTTCAAAAGTGGGGACTACTTAATACATACTGAAATAATGCTCAATAATGAAACTTAATTAATGTTTTGCATTATAAGGAATGCTGTGTATAGCTTCCAAAAATACAATCATCTATTTTTTCACGATGAAATTATTCTATTTTGATATCTTTTTCTGAAGTTATCTCAATAAACATCCTCTCACTGTACAAGAACAGGGTAGCAAAAATCTAAATAAACCCAACATTATCTTAAACAGTTCAGATTGAATATTTCTGCTTGCCTTAATATTTTGTGTGTATTTTCCATGGTAATTTAATTTCTAGCAAACCAAAGAGTCCAACAGAGAAAATAAAATGTAGATGCACGATATTGTGATTTTAGTTGATGTGAAGCAGCAGGTGAAATACCAGGAATCTCCTGCCCTTGTTCTCTTCTGCCGTACATGACCAAAGGAGGGGTTGCCCTGCACAGCACAGCTCTGGGTCAAAGAGCCACCTTGTGACAGTAAAGAAGGGAAGCTGGTTTTAACTCGGAATGGAAGAATTGAGAATCACAGAATAATTTGGGTTACTATGGGGCCTTTGAAAGTCATGTTTATACTGAAATTTTAGATGGGCTTATGTGGAGTTTGCTCAGTTTTGTTTAAACTTTCAGCATCTGGGATGTTTTTTTCTCCTTTTCCATGCACCCTTTGGAAGTAGTTGATTGATTTATTTATCCAACCTGCAGATCCATCCTTGTAGTTTTCAGTACAGTTTCAGTCAGTTTTGAGTAAAGTTTTTACTATACATTTTATTTATTATATTTATTTATTTGTTTATTTATTTTCAATCCTAGGTTAAAGTAACTTGTTATTGTTATACACAGAGTTGGTGAAACTTACAATGTGTGGTTATGGATAAAAGTTCTACTGAAAAAGGCCAAAATATACCAAAAGCTAACTGAGATTTCTTTTATTTCAGCAATACTAAAGTTCTTAAAATGTATGTAACAGAGCTATAAAGTTTTTTGTTTCTTTTAACTATTTTATGGGGATTTGTTGTAGTCTTTGCTTTACCCCAGAAAACTGGAGTTTCTTCTTTAAGCTTGGTACTTTATAGTGATTGCTGTTGTTGCATGTCTGATAAAGTGCTGTTGCTGTGAGGTCTGTAACAGCTGCAGATATGACTGAAAAGGTGTTGGAGTGTTGGGAGGGATGTTAAAAAAAAAAAAAAAAAAAGTCAATTTCTAACCAAAGAAGGCAAGGAAACAATTTGTCAATGCTGACAGCAGGAAAATGAATAAATATTGCAATAGATAAACGTCTACACAGTGAATTTATATTAGCATCTGAACGATGTCCTGTCTCAGGAAGGTTAGTAGACCAATGTTATTAACTTCCTTGATGGAGATCTTTCCTTTCAGGCAGTGAATTTGTGGTGTGAAATCATTACCTTGTTTATTGGTTTTTCTTGTATTCTTTTACTTCCTAAAGGAGTATGCAAATAGAGTTATTACACTATATTATGATTGTAAAAAAGCAAATGGCCTTAATTTTCACATTTGCTTGTTCAGAGCTAGGCTTCAAAATTCACATTTTGGCACCAAAATAGAAGTGGCTAAGCTGAAAAGTCTCAGATATTCTCTACATAACTTAATATGTACAAGATGCCTTTCACATTGGGAAAAATTATAATTCAATATAGTTTCAAAGACTGAGAAAATGTGGAGAATGTGTTGAATTGCATAAAGCTGTGACATTTCTTGTTAATTTGTTTAGACGCACACAATGAGAGCCCTTCATCAATAGTAATTGTAAGGCTATAAAAGGAGGAAGTGGGCCATATTTTCTGGGAGAATAAGCAGACAATTATAGCACAACTCAGCCCACAAACTGGTTCAGCAGTTCTGCCCAATTTTTTGCTTTTCCTTTTTTTCCTCCCCTCACCCCCCATCTTAGAGAGCCAAAACATTTGCCAATAAGTTGCAGTCACCTTAGTGACAGAATGGTTTAGTTTGGAAGGGACCTTAACTCATCCAGTTCCAACCCCCTGACGTGGGCAGGGACACCTCCCACCAGACCAGGTTGCTCAAGGCTCCATCCAGCCTGGCCTTGAACACTTCCAGGGATGGGGCATCCACAGCTGCTCTGGGAAGCCTTTGCCAGTGCCTAACCACTGTCTGAGTAAAGAATTTCTTCCTAATCTCTAATCTAAATCTTCTTTCTTTCAGTTTAAACCATTACCACTAGTCCTATCACTATACCCTTTGATGCAGAGTCCCTCCTCAGCTTTCCTGTAGGCCCCCTCTAGGTACTGGAAAGCTGCTATAAGGTCTCCCAGGAGCCTTCGGGAGAGGTGCTCTGATCCCTTAATCATCTTCGTGGCCCTCCTCTGGACTCATTCTTATGCATCCCTGTCCTTGTGCTGGGGACCCCAGAGCTGAACACGGAGCTCCAGGTGAGGTCTCACTCAGGCTGAGCACAGAGGGACAATCACTTCCCAGGTCTTGCTCACAACACTATTCCTGACACAAGCCAGGATGCTGTTGGCCTTCTTGGCCACCTGAGCATGCTGCTGGGTCCTGTTCAGCTGACTCTCCATCAACACTCTCAGGTCCCTTTCTGACTGGCAGCTTTCAGCCACTCTTCCCCAGCCTGTAGCACTGCAGGGCGATCAGTATCCTGTGAGCATGCCATTAAAGTGTGCTTGAAGCATTCCTTTGACAGCTGTGCCAGAATAGTTCAAAATTGTTTATTGTAGAAAAAGCAGGGAAGACAAACACTCAAATAAACAATTCAATTAAACAAAGGCAAACAATTTTAAGCAAACTGAAGTCTTTGTTTTTATACTTAACTACCAGAATTCTTCATATTTAAGCAAAGCTCAGAAGCTCAGTGCCTCCTCTTATGGTCTCCCCTTAGGCTCTCCTAAGTTTCTGGTTCTTACTAGTTTTGAACTGAGTGCTACAAGAATGCATGGCTAGTATCTGCCTGACCTAAAACTCCTGGGAATCTATGCAAGCCTGCTTTTATCTTCATTTTCCAACTTGTTAAATGCCTGATACAAGAAGGCATAAAGAATGAAAAGTCTCAAAAGAAGAGCTTGCTGTGAATAAATCTGATGAACCACAAAGACTTGAATTTCTTGAAACAATTTCAGAGGAGTGTCTGAATTCTGTCTTGTGCTTCAAATAAAAACTTCTGAACTTTTTGAGAACAGCCAATCTGTAATGAAAATGTCCTTACTTATTTTCTAATCTATCTTGCTACTTTGGATGATAAGTCCTCTAATAACTCTTCAGAATACATCAAAATGTCATTTTGTGCAGAATACCTACTTTTTTCCCTCTGGATCCTAGCTTAAAAATGAATGCTGTACTATAGGAGATCATTTTGGATTACAGAACAACTTCTCAAAATGTCAGTGGTAAATAGCCAGCAAATCCCTCATTATCAATAAAATGGCTTTGATATTCACTAAGAAGCCATTTGTAATACTTTCAAATGCATATCCTCACAAACCTCTTAGCTTCTTGCAATCCCCCCAACACCAAGTAAAATGCAGTTTAATGCAAGAGGGATCTTTTGTTGTCGTTGTCTGTTTGTTTGTTTCATTCCTAATGAACTTGAGTAAAGGTTTTAGAAACTCCTGTTGGACATGTGACTTCAATTTTAATAGTGTTTTAAATTACACTGTTTAAGTATGTTTTTAATTCCCCATCTTTCATCATCATGAGAAATATAAAATCCTTTATTACCTGGTCAGACACCGTTTATTTTCTTGATAAGAGTATGTCATTGGTTATGAAACTGTTTCATAGCTCTGAATACTGGCTTGAATGTCACTAAATTAATCTTTTTGAGGTTTTGGGTCTCTGACTTGTGTTTAGTTACCCTTTTTAACTTACACATGTTTCTTAAAACATGATTATGTTAAAACTCTATTAAAACTCCTTGAAACTCTATTTTGTATGAAGTAAAAGAAACAGCATTCTAAAGTTATTTGTTGGAAATCATAATGCAATAGGACTAAAGCCACTATTTTTTCCATATAAGTATACTTTAAAATTCCCATTGACTGCATTGGTTCATATGAAAAGTAGAGTCAGTGAAAAAAATACAGTGAAAATCTTATACACGCAGAGAAAACACGGTGATGTACAAGACAAAAAATGAACAAGGTGATGGGCATTGGTGTTGGATGGAAGAGTGCGAGATTCTTTATCTGCAGAGCTGGGCTTTCAGCAGCACGTTCCTGTACAGTTCATCTTGTTTCTGTAGATTTTAAGGCTAGGAGGATGAATTTGAGTCTGTTTTTGACTTATCTGCAGAGTTTTTTTGATTGGGGATTAGATAGCTCTGTACTGGGAATCCCATTAATGTAAGACA